TTAACATGCATTTTGTCATGACAATGCTGTAAAGTAAGGAAGTGTAATTAAAATTTATTTGCAAACAGGAACTGAGTCACAGAGACACACAGCTGAACTCTAGATGTTTTCAGGTGCTTAGTTCAATTTTTGCCAAATGGCCTGGAGGGGGGACTAAGTCTGAGATTGGAATTAGACAGGTGTCTAATTAGACAGGTGCCTGTAGCAGGGCATATGGAATTAGATGATCTTGAAGGTCCTTTCTAACCCAAACCATTCTATGATTCCATGAATTAAGCGCTGTTCTTTCATTTCACTGGTTACACTACTAAATCTTCTTGCCTCTTGTTCAGCAAAAAAAAAAAGAGGAAAAAAAAAAATGTGGAGTAATATTTGCTTTGATTTTACTACTTCAAATTGTGACTCTTACTCATTTTTTTAATAAATAGATGAACACACTTGTTCTCATAAGTTGCAGACACTTCAAAAATGTATGCAGTTAGAGTTATAGACTATTGGCATACTAAGTTTTTAATCTTTTTATTAGCATTTACTTTTTTTTTAAGATGTCTGTAAGGAAGGGTGTTCAGCTGGTTTTCTATTCTGTTAAATATGTATTCTGTAGCAAACATTCTTAAAACACTTAAGTTTGATTTCACAATGAAATTGAATTGCTGGATTATTTTTCCTATGTATACTGCAGAAACAAATCTTTTTGGAAAGAGGTCTTTACTGTCATATTCATTTTTCTAAATTGAGTGTCAGGGCATGTTAGGTATATTTAATAGCATTATAATTGCAATTTTAGAAAGATGCAAAATATCAAGACATGCCGGATTTTCTGAACAGCACTGCAAGCATACCTGCTGTATTTTAATTTAGCAACCTGTTAAACAAAATTAAACATGTTATGTATCCTCAAGGAATATGAGGGGCAAAAGGTTAAGTACCGCTGTGAACTAAACTCATCTTGATGAATAAAATGTGTATTACTGATAGGAATGATTGCACTAGTTGTCAAACAGGATTTCTGGCTTTTTGCCATGGGAAGTCCTAGTACAACAAAACATTCAACTCCATGCACCATTTTGCCATGAATTCAGTAAAAGAACTCAAATGTTTTGGACTATGTTAGGTAAATCATACCCCAAAGCCCTAACTATGATAGAAAATTATTTCTCATCATAAAGAAATAGTGTTCAAAGAGCAGTGAATCTCTGGAGCAAACCAGTAAGTGGGGACCTTTGCAATATCAGTGAAGTATATTGCTGGAATGAAAAACAAATGAAACTAAAACAGGAAAACAACAATCTGTTGTTGCTGCTGGTTATTTCCTTCTTTAATTCTTTTCTAGTTTTAAGTATCTCTGAGAGTTGTTGGGGATTTTCTTTGGAAAGTTTTCCATTGTTATTTCTCAAGATATGAAATATATAAGCTCCATTTACCAGAAAACTAAATTTATCAGTGAAGTTAGTAAAGACTAAATAATTGCTAAATGGAGTAATTTATGGGGTTAATCCAAACCAGTAATTCATAGTTTGCAAAATTTTACTTTGAACACAATTGACATTAGTGCACAAACTACATTTCCATAGGGTTTGTTTTCCAGTACCTTATGATGGTGATGAAAATACCTGACCTTAATTTAAAAGAAAATAAACGAAAGAAAATATATTTTAAAAAGTAAATATCTTGGCTTACTTTATTATGCAATTAATTATTTAAATATATATATTTGAGTACAAAACTTTCTTCAAAAGGCACCTCAAGGATAATGTATTTTGTAAATTGACAAACAGAGGGAATGAGTTTGACTAGTAGAAGCAAATGTAGCACAAAATGTTTAATAGCTGCATTAAACAGTACTTAACCAGAAATATTCTGTTCAGCAGTACTGTTTTGGGGGCTATGAGTGAGAGTTTCCCATCTTGGATAGCAGATTCAATTTTGTATATATTTTGTTCATACACCCTCTCTGGTTCTGTGCATTTTTAGATGTTCATTTGTGTAAGCTGTTAGAGCATAAACTGTACTTTGTTGTAGGAGTTGGTAAGCTTTGTTTTTTGAAGGTAGCATGTTAGTAATATCCTCTAATAATAAAAACAGATGGAACAATTCAGTTAAAAACAAAACTTATATAATCTAGCAGATTATATGACTTGTAGTAACTTTAGAAATAACTTAATATTTAAACATCCCTCATACAAGTAAAAACAGCCATGAAAAGTCATGTAAATTAACAACTACAACTTCCAAAATCATGCACATATATATGGTGGTTATAAAATCTTTAAATATGTATGTATATATATATATGTGTGTGTGTGTGTGTGTGTGTATATATATATATATAAAAGAATGATCTGAAGAATTTTTTTATTTCCTATTTCTGTTCTCAATCAGGGGAAGAAAAAAAAAGTTGCATAGAATTACCTGTGCCATTATGCTGCTCAATGCACTACATCTTCATGCAAAAGTCATTGTTTTCCAAAATGTAATGAGAAAGAGAACTGAGAGTGTATCTGTATCCAGAAAGTATCCAACTGGCTGATTGAATGGTTTCTTCAGTATCAGTGTAATTCATGATAATTGCTATACTATCCTGCTGTGACTCATAAATCACTGGCCAAAAGACTTCTCTTTATTTTTATTTCTGATCTTCATTCCACTTTTTTTTTTTTTTTTTTTTTAAGCCAGAGATGCTCACAAGTTTCCTATAAGCGTGAGATAAATATAAAGTAATTAGGTATGAAGCAGGGAATCAATCTAGGACTCTGAGTTTAATAGAATGATCATACAGCAGAATAGTTAGGAAGAAATCATTTAAACCATCAGTCAAGAGCATAAGGGCAATACAAAAGGCAAATGGGATGGAGAATTGTTGGGTGAGATACAGAATATAAAGAAGCAGAGGTATCTACAGCATACATTGCCTTAATGGAATACAGGGTTAAATTACACAGGTGACAGATAACTTTTAACAGTCTAAAAACTTGGTGCGAAGATGCACTTTTTTCCCATTTGCACAGTACTTTGATCCACCTATAATAAAGTTGTAATCTGAAAAGCTCTGCCATCTCACAAATGCTTATCATAATTAAAAGAGAAGAACTTACAGCAAAATGTAAAATTAAAGAAAATGCTTGATTTTTTTGTTTTTGTTGTTTGTTTGCTTGTTTGAAAATATATATATATATATAAAATTTATATATATAATATATATATATATATTTTAATATATATATATTATATAAATATAAATATATATACACCCAGAGGCTACATAGTAAAATTCTTGTTCTTGGGTATTCAGTGAGTTTTGTCAATTATTCAGATCAATAACTCTACATGGTGAAGCCAACACTTTACTGATAGAATCCTTTGAACAGCTAGCACCAGTGAAAATAAAAATTAGAAAGGAAGTTATTCTGGGCATTTCTGATCTTAATTGAAATTATTCCATGTTTGTATCAGTAAAGTCAATTTTTCAATCCAAGCAAGAAAATGAAAAGGGAAGCATAGATTCAGAAGTGATACAGAAGATCATGAAGGTGCTTTGTTTGATGCCACTTCATCAAAGAAAAGGAGACAATTAGGTTTTGTGGAGAAGAGAGTATGAAACAACAGAATTCATCCTTGCTGTTAATGCGATGTTGTTAGCAAATAGAAGCAAACGTGAGCTTTTTTTTTTTTTTTTTTTTTTTTTTTTAAACCAGTTCCAGAGGCTCCTCACATAAGAGCATTTTTCTTTTTGGCTTAGGAATTTCCACATTATCAGGTAAGTTAACCACTGAACTACAGTGCAAATTAAGTGCTCTCCTTTGATATCTTTGTAATGGAGATGTTCCATCAAAATCCTTTTTAAACTTTGTGCTCGAGCCTTCCTTTTGCAGAACAACACTCAATTATTTTATGTCTTATTGAAAATTGAGACAGACTTTTGAAAACAAAACGGCACATAATGATGACTAAATTAAAGATGGGTATGCTAACTTAACATTTATTTTCATTTTCTCACTAATTCCATTAATCAGTAAGTATCATCACCATGTTCTCGTATATGCTGATGAATTTTCATACTGATTCTTTAACTAGATTGAAATAAAAATTAAGTGTAGTGTTCACTTGGGAGAAGTAGGAAACACTGAAGTGGAGATTTCAACAGGAAAAGAAAATAAGTTTCTCTTTGTAGTTCTTACAGTTTCTTCAAAATTCTAATTTAGATAAAATTAGATTACATAGTAAGATTAAAGGAGTTTGAGTTGTGGGTTTTTTTCCCCCCAAATATTTTTGGACTTATATTTTATTAAATCTCAATAAAAATACAAACTCAGTAAGTGAAGTTGTTTGAAGTTTGTCTTTTATCTGGACAAACAAGAAGGAAACTCTCAGGTTATGAAGTACTATGTATGTTGTCATTCTTATATCAGGACAAACACTAAGAAAATCTAGGAAACAGCCTATGTTTGATATTTTTCTACTCAGGTCAATTATCAGAAAGAAAAAATAATTCCAAAGCACTATTTTCAGTTTTCAAAAGATAAAAACAATAAAACAAAGCAAAATCCCTACAAATGTACAATATACAAATATATTTATGGTGATATTTTGCAGGAAAGTATTTGCTAATAGAATACTAATTATTAGGGCTCCTTATGTGTACATTTAAATAGCTACAGTCCAGAATCTCATTCAAATATTTTAAAAAATTGAGGTGTACAATGAAGGGTGAATAATGCTTCTGACCTAGGAATGGAAAGCTGTTTGCAATTCATAATGAATAAATTCAAATGTACAACAAGCTAACCAGCTGAATATAACAAGCAAAAGTTTTCTCAATTATGTTTTTGTTTGTCTGGTGGTCGGTTGGCTATTTGGCTGTTTTGCTTTGGTTTTTGTTTTGTTTGTGGCAGCCTGCTACCTGCTTGGGGTTGTTCTTGTACTGATCAGAGACAGAGAGTAGCATAGCTCAGGCAGAATACAGAACTCCAACCAGTGGATTTCCTTTTTATTCCTTACAGCTCCAGGGCTCCTACCACCTTCCAGAACATGAGATGGCTGAAATGAGAAAACTGTCCATAGCTGCATAATCCATACCAGTGAAAGCAGATCTACAGGCATTTAGTAGCAATCAATCACTTATACATTCCTTGCTGCATGCTGTCAAAGATAGGTGTTTCATTTTCTCTGTTATGCTGTAACTTTTGATTGCTATATCAGGTATCTGTTTTCTTTTTTTTTTTTTTGTTGTTGCTTTGCTCCTCTGAGAGGTTCTGGAAAGAAGAGTAGCACTTGGGCTGGAAGGAGAAATGCTGCTCCAACTCCACTAATCAGAACATCATCTGAGCATTCTGCTGTCCATTCAAGAAGAGTAGATAGAAATCAGTTTAATATTCACTGCTCTGGGTGGAAATTGGAAAGAGTTGGTACTGCTCCTCCCCACAGCAATTTTGCAAGTTAGCTAGTTTGTACTTAGATACTTTTCCTCTCTAGAACTCTTAAAAATTTCTTTTCAGAGATGTGATCATTCTAGTGAATAATATCCTAACAGTCAACACGGACAGTTTGACACAATACTTTAGCAGGCTGACCAATGGAGATAAATTATATTAATTAGTAAATTACATTTTTATGTAACCCCAATGGACAAGAAATCAATTATTAGATGTGCGTACCTGGAGAAAAAAATAAAGCAAAATAAAAGTGAACATTTTTACAGTAATCACTGTGTAATCTAGATTTATTCTGTGCAAGTTTTTGGAGGGAAATATAGCTGTTTTGCAAACAAATGTAAAGATTAACTATGTACAGTAATTCTGAACCTTAAAAGTAGAAATACAAAAAGATTTTAAAAATCAGTGTCTTGAAAAATATTGAACTGATTAAATTAATTTCTTAGATACAATACTAGAATATAAATGGAGAAATGATATATTTATGGCAAAGATCAGAAGGCATATTTCATCTAAGAATCAGTGAAATTCATGACAGAACAGTAAAATCCTTAGTTCTATAGAGTGTGTTTGACAGTGAGATTTAAAAAAGATCTAAGTGTTTGACTTTTTTTTTTAATAAGTAGACTATTTCAAATGAGCACATCTGGTTTATGTTCCTAAATCTCTGGCCTTTAAAAAGTCTTGTTCCCAGTTCATACAAAATACCATTCAGAATTGTTTGACATGGTGACCTTCCCCATAAGGTGACTGGCTGAATAAACTGATTAAATAGATTCAGGATCTTAGCATGTGTACAGCAAGTTAATTGTGGCATCCTGGAGCCATTAGTAAACATCCTCATTACTCCGCTGCTTTTCTTACTGTAGGTTAGGAACTGAACTGAGATTAAAAATAATAATAATCTGTTTATCTATCCAGTGGAACTGAAATAAGGAAAGCTTTTTTTTTTTTTTTGTCTGAAAAATTTCCATTATATTGTCACATTTTCTTAAATACAAAGAAACATAAGAATTTCAAAAATCAAGTAATTACATTAAATGTCTTTATAGTTTCACAAGGATTGAAATATTGAAGAGGTGGACTGGTTAGGTACATAAATGCAAATGATCAGTAAATATTTCACAAATGCTTTTGAACATGGTAAAGTTAAAAACTAAATAGAGTAAGGACTGGAAAATTTTTGTTTTTTTTCTGTACTCATTAATAGAACATTCATTGTTATTTGTGTAGAGTGTAATTCTTTTTGATTTGCCTTCCATTTGCCTTGAGGACAAGCTAGTTTAAAACTGTTCAGCACACTGCACCATGCAGAACAGGTAATCTGTCTAATTAAGGCCTGTAAGGATGTTCAAAGTAAAATATTGAAGAGCTACCATAACCTCACTTTCACCCTCCCTATGTACCGCAGCTTCTGAGACTCAGAGATACCCTAGCCATTAACTCAAGTGTTTACACTCTAAGCTCAAATTCTACTTTGCCAGAATGCTTCATTTCACAATCTGTTTTCTCATTTACAGGCAGAAAGCAATTTATCAAATTTTTATATTACATTTCTCAGCTTGTTCCAATATTGGACAATATAACATATTCCTGGAAATTCAAAATGCAAAAGCATAGTGTGACTTTATCCAGGGACCTAATAAGATTTATATCCACATTCTTTTTTCGTGTGTTCATTTGGTGCATTTTAATGAATTATTAATTATGACCAACAATAAAATATTATTTTGCTCTGATGCACAACAAAAGGAAAGGTACCCAAGAGAAATCCATCTGACATTTCAAAGTAGACACGGCCAGAGTATGTTCACAAGTTTCTCATCAAGTATTGCGAGATATGCATTTGCCCATCAAATGAACCAGACTGACTGAGGCATTTCTAAAGGTACAGATGTAATCCATGGGGAGATAAAGTCAAGATTTATTACAGTTTAGGGAGCATTGATTAGTGCTCTTTTTCTATGTTTTTTTTTTTTTTTAAATAAACAAGTATATGACTAAGATCAAAAGATTTTTCTATTTTCCAAACATGTTTTTAAAGGTTGACATATAGGTTTAAAACCTATGTAAGGATGCATGTTTTGCAACTGACAGCATTCAAATTGAAAGCTGCATGTAATAGTTCTTTACTTAATATATTTAAAATATACTTAAAATCAGATTTATGCAAATGCTGTAAATATAATATTGTTTGCTGTGAAATTTTTCATTTCACTTTTATTACATTTTCCTAAGTGACCTCAACTCTAACACAAATTTTCAGGATATTCTATATACATATTACTGCATCTTTTCATCTTAAGTTATGCATCTTGTTTTTTAACTTAATGAAAAAATATAGTTCTTGAAGTATTTCATCTGCGTAACATTAGCGTTCTTATACATTACTTGCTAATATCAAAATATCTCTACAAGTTTCTTTACTTTCAAGGTCATTATAAGAAGTGCTTTTGAAACTACAGTGAACAAATGTTCAAAACAATTGAATTTTCTCTTCCTTACAACTATCTACAGAGTTAAGTAATATATTCTAGAGTATTCAAAGAAAAATCAAGTTAAAAATACTTTGGGTGTGAAAGCTATACAATAAGACTAAATATATCTCTGATTTCCTTTTAAAAGAGAATGTGGATTTGTTTTTGCCTTTGTTATTTTATAAACATATAAAGGTAATGCTCTGCCCCATATATTAAGATGCTTGTTCAGTAAGCATATTTGTTCCCTGTGAAATCCTTGGATTTACTTGCAATCTATCAGAAAAATGTTTAATGTTCTAAAAAGACCTAATTGTAAAATATATCATGCATTTTACCAATTTCTGAAAAATCACTTTTATTCATAGAAGTAATGTTTCATGCTTATACAGGATTACTAACAGTGATAAGAAATCTGCCTCAAATAATCACAACAAAAGCTAGTTTAATGCTCATTTGAAGGAAAAGTGAGTGCTAATGGATTTTGACAAGCTGATCATGCCTTTAATAGCATCAAGCATACCAAATTCTTTTTCATACCACACAGTCCACAAGGGATCATCAACCTATAGATTAAAAATCCATGACCTTTGACCTTTCTATAGTTAACTGTCAAGTGATTATTAGGCTGCCAATCGGCATAATATTCCTCCTCTGTTTATATTTACAATTACTGTTCTCAAGTAAAACCAATTCATTATATTCATTCTCTACATTTTGAAGCTTCTTTTTATATTCTTTCAACTGCTACTGTCTGCTTAAAAAAAATAAGGATCTGATCTGAAATGCTCTTTACTCTTTCTGCTATCATGCTTTCTAATAAAACTCAGTTACACCATACCACTGTCCCTTTCTATCTAGGTCTTTGATCAGCTCGTAGAGAAGTAGCTGGAAAATAGCTCATTCCTTATGAAATAGCAGAATTTTCTTTCTTTTTTTTTCCCCTCTCCTAAATTCTAAAGGGATAATGCCAAGTTGATACTCTTAAGTGTCAACTGGAGGTGACGTAAATATTATGTTTATGTATATCCGTCTTGTTCTTTGAACAGACTGAATTAGAAAATTCAGTCATATTTTATACTAGTGTGTTTTATCAGCATTTATAGATTAAAAAAGATTTCTTCTGTAGAGTAGGATGTAAAGTCCTGCCAATAACATCACAGTCGACTTCTCCTTTTACAGAGCAGCAAGGCTCCACCCAGCACAGATTGCAGAATATTCCTTTGGCTTCAGGGAGCTGTTATGGGATTTTCTATGGGGGCACACCTCAGTGTCATTTGCTCCCTTGTCTACTTTAGAGTCCAAATCAGCAGTTGCAGAAGGTGCCTGGGCAACTGCAACTCCTCTGCCTCCAATTGTTATCTGGTGTTTCTCTGAAGCACTAATGAGAGGGGAGCTGCATCTCCTAAGCTGGTGGGTGCTAAAAGATAGTTACTGAAACAGTTTGAGACGTGTCTCTGCTCTGTCCTTTAGAAATAATTAGAGGGGCAAGAAGTAGGACGTTGCACATGGGAAGTCTATCAGTGTCTCTCATGTCTGTATCAAGTTAGGAGCAACGTGATTGATTCTGGGTGAGATTAGGTAATTTTTCTATTTCACTAGGATTTGAAATTAAAAAAAAAAATAACTGTTACTATACTAGGCAATATTGATACATTAAGATCTAGCCTCAAGTTAAATCAGTAACCTAAAAGAGAATTTTGGAGGTTTATCCCTGTTATCTTCTCAGAAGCCATACCCAGATTTTTCATACTCTAATTGTCATAAGCTTGACAGTTCCCTATGCTTTTTCCCTCTTTCCAGAGAGAAAATACTTGGAAAAAATTATTTTCTGTTATGGCAAAATTGAGGTCTAGTGACTAATGGCTAATTGTTATTGCAGTTCTTGACCTGATCTGTTGTGCTGGAAACAAATTTCAGTCTCCAGAGTGTAACCATATACAACAGGCAGACCGTGAGTTTATACAGGCAGTGTATTAATAACGGAACAGCTTCAGAATTGTTATCCTAATGAACAGTCTCAGATCTAATAAATTCCAATGCTGAAACTAGGTGAGCACACAGTTGTTTTCATTCAAACTGACAGAACTCAAAATAAAACATTTCTATTAGTTTATTCAGGGTGAAGAATAGCATTAGAAAAATATAGGAGACCTTCTCATTGGTGTATTTTTTCAACAGCTTCAAGCTGTTAACAGTTACTTTGTCCCTATATATGCAGTGGTGCATGTTATGGCTAAATGATTAGTTTAGAGGCCCTTGACATACAGACTTTTTCTGTTCCCCAGTATCAACTGTGAAAATGTATTTCCAAGCAATTAAACCTCATCTCCTGCTGGCTTGGGAGCCAGGAACCTTCAAAATTCAATTCATATTCTTCAACACCTACCACAGTTGGAAAACCGAAAAAAAAAACCCAAAAACAAAAAACTCACACACACACACAAAAAAAACTATGTTAGAGTCTCAAAGAAATTCACTGATATGTGTTTGAAAGTCTTTTAAAGAGGAGAATGAAAAGCCTGGAAAGATGTTACTAACATAGCAAATAAAGCAGATGACAAAAAAGTGTCCTTGTTTATTGTTGCTGTTTTGGAACTTTCAGCACACATATACATCAGTATGCACAACTGAAAGAAAGACACACAGTAGGAAACACTAGGGAATCAGAGTTAATCTCCCTTTTCTCCTTCCCTCCAACTCTAAGGAAGATTTTCTATTTTCTGATTATACAAGTTTTAAAGGAAGGAACCTCTATTTCCAAATACTTGTGTGGTAGCTCAGATAGAAAATACATACAATTATGTATATTTCACAGTGACCTACATAGCAGCTTGGTTTGCCTGTGGAGAGGTGAGTGTCAGGTAGCTGGAAAGGAGTGCAAAGAATTGTTTCCTCTAAAGACTGCCAGGTTCTCAATGCAGATGGTGGAGTTCAAGTTCATTTCCAGTTAGGTTTCTACGTATGCTCACTAATGGCCCATTGCTAAGAGCCAACTTATAGGAGCATCAATGAGAATAAGAGTACAGTAGTACTTGCTTACTCTGTTTAACAGCCGCTGAAACTTTTGAATAATGCTTTGCCATAAAAATTGTAATTCTAGCAAATGCTTTTTCTATATTTCATTGTTTGGAGATGCAAAAAAAAAAAAAAAAAAAAAAAGGGGGGACAAAAAGCCTTGATTATGTGGGTTTTATGAAAAAAATGCAAAATCTTGTATGATGTGGCATGATAAAAGGATGAAGTGTTTTCTCTTGGCAGATGTAGCTTTGCTTAAAATATTTCCTCTATTGTTGCTTGTAAGACAGTTACAGTTTTCTGCTTGCAAAATCAATCATACTGACCAATATTTAGTCTGAGTGTGACATCATTTAGGGCAGTTTGATGTGGAGAAGTTTGATCATTTATTTTGTAAGATAAAACCTATTTGAATTTAAAATATAAAAAGAGAGCTAATGTGATTCCTGCCTATTTTTAAGGACTTAGCTGAAGTCCTTTTCAAGTGCTTAGCTCCAGGGTAATGACTTCTGGGATGAAATTCTGGTGAGCTTTTGAAGATCCAAGGTAAACATCTCCTCTATGATTTGTCTGCTTGAGTGGGAAGGAGACAACTTCATGATTCTATCCCTAACTTTACTTGTGAACAGAAATCTCTGGGTATTCACCATTCCTCAGCATGAAGTATTTGTAACTAACTGATCTAAGTACTAAGGGTCACTAATTACAGAAGTGACTAATAATGTAGTACTTTCATGAAGCACGGGTCAGCAGACTTGATGGAACAATGAAAGACAAAGAGGTAGGCTGAGCAGCTGGAGCAAAAAAGCACGCAGTCGGATAGTCATGATATTACTGCTGAATCTTTGGGCTTGTGGACATGAAATGGTGTGATTTTTATATGCCTTTCTCAGCAGTTGTTGTCTTCCTTGCTAGATTCATCAGTCAGACTTAATAACCTAAAATAAAAACTTCTCATTAACATTTGCGCTTTGACTCAAATCACCTGAAACTTGGAGTTCCAACATGGAACTTATATCATGCTTTAATTGCAATTAAAATATTGGAACTCCCTTCATAAGTCCTTAAAACTACAGTAGTTTTCATACTTTTATCACATTAATAAGATAGCCAATGTCTTCTTGCAATGTAATTTAATAGGATATTGCTAGTTAAAATGTTACATTGTTTCTAAATGGTTTAACTTAATAATATGTCAATCTCATATTGGTAGAAGAACAATATTTTACTCCATCAGACTCTCCATTTTAGTACTTTATCTGATTTCCACAGATGTCAAAAGTAATAGTTAGAATTGGATGACTATAGCAAACATCTTCTGAATATTCTTTTGATTTTAATGGAATTAGTTTAAATTGTGTACACACTGTTTCTGTGATTACTTTCCACAAATACTCTTGTTAATGAATTTGTAGAAGGGAACATACTGAAAATGAGGCATTTACATATGCCTAGTGTACAAATTGCATTTTTAATTTGAAGTGTAACTATTTGTCCTTAAAGTTTCATAGATAAAGCTATGTAACTAGGGGACAGAACATCCTTTATGACCTTCATGACAAGTCATATTGTATTAAATGTATGCTGGTTGTTCCTAATCAACTTTTTGTGATACTTGGCTAGAAGCTGGAAATAGATTTTTCTGTTTTTCTAGATTTACAAATATGAAAAAAGAAAGATGAAGAAAACAGAACTCATTTGGGTGAGAAAAGTTTATATTTCTGCAAGATGACTCTTGTCTGTGGGGTTTTGGGTTTTTTTTGATGGATGGTGGTTTTGGTTTTTGGTTGTTTGTTTTGTTTGTTTGTTTTGTTTGTTTGTTTTTAGTTTTTATGCAGTGTCTTACTGACATTGAACTCCACAGAATCTCCTGTGGGACTTCCAGAAAAGTACTCTCTTGACAAATGTTTCCTTGCTGTTCTGCACACACTTTCCAGAAGCTTCTCCCAGTTAAAAAATAAAATAAAATAAAATAAAAAATAAATAAAACAAAAAACTATTTTGAAGCTTCTTAATTCAGCCTCTACTGTCCATTTTTTCAGTGTATTTTGTCATTAATACCTTTGGACTTAAGGAATTCATGATTTTTCTCACATTTCTCAGGAACTTTTTCTACTTTTCTTTGTTCCTTCCATCTTTGAGATTTATTCAATTCTAACTTTCTCTCTTTCCAAGATTCTTCCTCTCAGCAATTTAAAATTTCTTTTTCCTTTTTTTTTTTTCTTTTGTAAATTTTGTGTTGAGGTGGGGGACTTGTAAGTTTCCAAGTTTTTATACCATGTTTCCATATTTTTATGATTAATTATATATATGATTTAGCCTTGGAGACATGATATTTCTCTTGGTTCAGTGCTAGAGTTCATGTCAGGCTTTCACTTTTCTATCTTGCAAATGAGTTGTTTTGCTAACAGTAGTGAAAAAAAAAAAAAAAAGTGTAAAATATCAGTTTTTTTAATATCTACTTCCAACTCTAGCTCAGATGATTGATTATATGCAGTCAATGGGCCAGAATTTACCAAAATTGACTCTCATGTATTTCTGAGACTGTCATAGGGACAATTTATCAACCGTAGATGCATAAGATTCAATAGGGAGATCATGCATTCAAGTTGATTAAAGAAAACCCAGTACTTGACTGGGAGCTTCATAATTTGATTGTAAAGTGACTTGTTTCTCTGTCTGGGAAAAAGAAAAAGTGGAAAAGGGCAAGTTGTAAGAAATAGTTGGATAGAAAATATTGAGTAATAACTTTCTTAGTTATATTTCACTTCAATTTAAGGAACACATTTAAAAATTTATTTTAAAATATGGATGAGATGAGGTACATTCACTTAGTTGTTGAAGAAGTGTGATATGTGTTTACTGAGAGAGAATTAAACTGGGTGAAATTTTCTGCAGCCAACTATTTCCATACCTTTCATTCTAGCTGCTTTATAGAAAAAAAAAAAAATCCCAGTTAGTGAACAAAACAAGTATCTAAAGCTTACATTGTTCATATCTATAATTGATAATACAATGACTGTTGAATAGAACGGTAGGAAAGAAAAGTAGGCGCTCATAGGTCAGCAGAAATCTGAGTAGTTATGTTACTTTGGATTTGTCTAGTCTTGATTTCTTGCTTTATGTTCTCTCTTCATTCCAGTGTCTTCTCAAACAAAAATCTTAAGTTCCATGAGGAGGCATTGGTACATATTCAAAGCCAGAAAGTGGGAAGACAAGTAGTTTAATTTCAAAACTGCGTTAAAGTGAATTATAACAATGTAAGTTTGTGGTTTCATGACCCATACTGAGTGCTGACTTGACTTTGAAAGATCCTGTGAAGGAAAACATTTTCATCAGCAAATATTACTCATGCTGAGTAGTAAATTGTGACTTCCCGGAAGATATAGCCCTGAGAGTGACGTCATGTGAAGCATCCTATTCTGATTCAGAAATGAAATAAGCTTATATTCTGTTATCTTTTGCTCATATAATGAGTTACTGCTGAGTTTTGTGTACACTAGCAATTTGAATTTTTGCATTTGCAAAATTTTGCATTTGCAAAAAAACTAGCTGCAATTTAAGTTTTGCATACAGACAAGTCTCAAGATTTTGTCGCTTATGATGCAAAGACCAGGTAAATCTTCACAGCTTTTTTACAGCTTTTTTTTTTTACTTTTTTTTTTTTCTCATAACATTTAACAATAATGATTTAATCATTCTTAACTCCTTGATGTTTATTGCAAGAATATTAATTCTGATAATCTTGCTTGGTGCTAGTGTAGCTTTGATAGAATTTCAGTAGAATTTCCACTGGCATTCAGAATTAATTACCAGCTCCATTACCTTGAAGCATTTTCCTGCTTTGTTACATAGGACTTGTTATTGTAGCTCTTACCTGAACAAAAGTAATGAGTAAATAGAATAGATGTTTTCATATTGGCCCCACTTAGGCCAAAAGAGGCAGAAAAAGACCTAGTGAGAGTTGGGAACACACATTCTGTATCAATTATGAATGACTCCAGTTGCTGGTGTCAGCTCCCCAAAGAATGTACTACCGTTCAGATGCAGTAGTCATTTGTAACTATACTCAAGAGGAAGAAGATGAGTATAGACAAAGAGAAGCAATTTATCTAACTGAGGAGATTTATTAATTGAGGTGGTACAAACTTTTTTTCACACAGAAAACCTGATTGCACTTAAAATTCTACTGCAATCAAAAGATGTAAAGTTATTAGATAAAAGGTTACCAATCAGTCCTTCAAATCTCCATGGAGCAGCAACATCAACAAAAGTCTAAACACCACAGCAAGTGATTTACTTATTCAAAGACTGTCCATTGACCTTCTTAAAAGAATGGAAGCACGTAGGTATTGATTACTGCTTGAAAAAAATGCCTTAAAAATCCTTTTATAATTTCAACTTTTGTTGCCCTGATTTGCATTAAATATATTATGAATGGATAATGTATCACCTTAGAAAGTGACTTTTTATTGCATTATACTGACAGAGCTTTTTAGCTTCTTAACAAAGTTATTTTAATCCATGTTTATAGTGCCAAGGTCTGTCCATTATTTTATAAAATAAGCAGTGACTGTAAGTGATGTTGTTACATTACCAGGATCTGTACCACATCGTAGATCTTCACAAAGAGGTTTGAACGGGTACGTTGTGGGATGGGTTGTGTATAATGGAGTGTGAACTTTTCCTTCAGTGACCTTTTTGCATACAGTAACTCATCCTCTGAGACAGAACAAGGAAATTTTTTTTTTAACAAAGACCACTATTAAGGGCTCTATTTTATTGGTCTCTAACAAGATGTAGATGTAGTATTTGTAGTATTTTTAGATGTAGTCAATAAGGATGGACTAATGGAAAATTAAAGTTATTTTTAATGTTCATTTTGATCTGTATTTTGAAGTGTATTTTGAAGTATATTCTGAGATATGAGGCCGATATTCTCACATCTTGTAAGAACTATTTACTATTCTCCTGATTTCTGACAAGTCATGGTATATTTTTTTTGATGTAAATAAATTTTTAGTTTAAGAGAAAGGTCATAAACTAGAGCTTCTTCTGAAAAAAAAAAAAATCAGCTTTGACAAATTAGCGTGATCCTCAATAAGTGACACTGAAAAACTAGCTGCAGGGGAATAGGACAAAAAATAAGAAAACTCAGGGAAGGCTGCAAGATTGTATTAGGAAGGTTACATCTTTGGACATTTATATGTCTAAAGGAGGGCTTTCGAGAAAAATAAAATAAAATAAAATAACAAAACCAGAAAACAGCAAACTATGATTCTGCCAAAATCCAATTTTCATTCCAAAAACGTCTGATTTAAAAGTTTGAGTGCTCTCAATTCCAATAGAGAGCATGAACCTTCAGATATTAAGTTCTGAAGAGCAGGAGGAAGTTTGTTTTACAATAAACTACGTTGGGCTTTTATTTAGCTAGGAGTGTATCATTCTTAAAGTTTTTTCTACTGAAAAAAATTCTAGTAAACAGCAAAAACTCAGTACTCTGTTCTCTTTCCTTATACTGGTATAGACACAGCTGTAATTTTATTGAGGTTAATACTAAAACAACTAGAAGTAAACTTGCTGTGTGTTTGCAGTGTGTTTTCTGAGGTGATTTATAAATAGAGTAAATTGATTCTCCATAGGATAATTTAGGATTCCAGGTAAGTTTACCTCCAGATGTATGTATTAATCAAAGATCTATCATAACTGTAAAAGTATCATGGCACATTTATTGTACTTTTCTGACAATTTCATGAGTCTATGTATGCTTACAATTTTGAAAGAATTTTAAAACTGCTGCTTTAGCAAGTGCATCAGGGTATGTGAAGTCTGTTAGAGCTATTTATATATCTCCCTGACTAGTTATTAAACAGATGACCACTACTCAGGTTTATCTTGAAGAAGTGCATGGTCACATCTTACGATAAGTATTTTACAATTCCTTTGTTCTGAACAGGGCATTGAAAAAGTGAAATAATCCTGAACCTAACAAATACAATCAAAGCATGATTCAAAAAAGAAGTTGTTTCAGTATGACTGACAGACACACTTGGAACTCTATTGGAAGTCAGTAAGGCAGCACTTCTAGGAGACAGAAACCCTGCCTGACTGTGTGAATGGATGGAGAAAGATCATGTGCTGTGCTAAGAGGAAGGGCAGATCACTGAAAGACAAAAGGAACACTTCGTCAATACCTAAAAATATTGAGGAAACTGAGAAAGGTACGTGCAGGCTGGTATTTAGACTGGACTTTAATTTTATTTTAATTGCTAAAATCATTTGAGAAAGTTTTTGGAGGGACGCGGGATGTTACGAGTCTTCTTAGCTGCTCTGGACAAACTTCCAATTTCCAGTGAAGGCGGAGGAGCCAGGAATAGAGAAACTGATTTTTGCTACTTTACTTAATTAAAAAGAAAGTAGCTCTAACTCACTGGGAACCTCAGTTTCCCTATCTGATAGACAGTTCTTAATAATTTCTGCCATCTTAATTAAATATTTTGAAATATATGAACCAAGATAGCTATCAAAGAGCTGGATGTGAACTATGACCTCAGCTAAAATATTTTTGTGCATAATAATTAATTTTAAACTCTTATTATGCTGTGTGTTTCATCAATAGAAAAAACATGTCATACCACTTTCATAAATCAAGTTCTGTGTTTGGGTTTTCTAAAAGCTCTAGTTAAGTGACGACAGAGTTTGTGTGTTCTGCAGATGTATATGATCATAATATTTACTGGTGATATAAGCTGGGCTTTGATTCTCTGCATTAACTTTATCAATACAAGATAACAAATGACTGAACGTAACTGAAAGCTCTGCTAGGAAGGCAACATTGGTATGTCTTTTGGTTGACCTCATAAACAAATCAGCATTTGTTCCTGGTCGAAGCATTCTCTGAGGCTGCTAATCATTGCAAAAGACATATTTTGATTCCTTACTCAGGCAATCTATAAATTAAGGAACAACTTATTGTCACGCTACCCATGGGTAGCAAAGCAGTTTCAAGAATGTGTTTTCCATAACTTGAATGCCACATCGCCATGTATGGCAATTTAGTATACCTACCAGTACCAGCGGGAACTCACTTGTTACTTCATACAGATTAGATCTCTTGCTTTTCAAGATAAGATAGAACTCTTAATTCTTTCTTTTTCTTTTTTTTTCTTTTTTTCTTTTTGCAATCCCCAAGGCATGTATCCAGGAGACAATGATCAGCAGAGGCACCTCTGGGGCTGTGCTGGCAGATGGCTGCTGAGCACTTAGGAGCTCTGGGGACAGCCCCAAGCCCTATTCTCCTGGTGCCAGAGCCGTCAGATAAATGGCAGCTGGCCAGGGGCTGGGGGACTGCAACCTTCCCACTGTGCCTTCTTCACAGTGACCTGGGGTAAACCCCACAGAGGAAACCTCATGTTTTTTCCTGCCTCTTGTGGCTTCTTTTGCCTATTCAGAAAGTTTCTGGACACTGGCTGATCCCTGCAATACTCAATTTTGTAAAAGAATGTAGCAAAGAGTAGTTCTCCTTGAGGTTTCTTAGATGGCAAGTAGGCTGATTCCTCTCAAGAGTGAATTAGGAATAATTTTAACAAGACATTGTAGGAACGAGTTAACAAATTAGAAGTATTCCCAAGATTTTAATTCTATTCAACTACAATTAAAATCAAAAAAGAGTGGAAAAAGAGTTTGGGAATATCATACAGTGTAGTTCAGAAAAATCCCGGGAGAAAGTTATAAATGCTTCCAGCAAGCAAAATAAATAGAAACATTAGTCAGTCTCAAGCCTCATTTCCTCAGTGATGGGAGGTAACAATGCCATAAATCACTAGTTACCTTAAATCATATGATCTTTTGTGCCATAGACCTTTTGGTAATCTTTACATTTACCATCCTGGGAATATTTGCTGAATAAATATTTACAAGACCAACACACTATTTCAGAACAACAGACTTTTTTGTAAACTGCGCTTGAAAAATAACTTGAGCATGGAAGGGACTTTCAGCCAAGTATCATTTATTACTAGATTTATGGGTTTCTTTAATAAATGATGTGTGAGCAAATACACCACCTAATAAGATAGCAAGACATTCATGACTTAAAGCTCAGTTTGATACTTTGAACTAACACCTGACGTTAGTATATCTTGCAGCATTTTATTCGGGAATTGAAAAGAAGCACACTGAGCATGTTTCTCAGCCAGCTCTTGTCTCACTTTGCATAACACTGGGGTATTTTGGTCAGGAAACTCGACAATAACTTGACTAGAGCTGAGAATGCACTTGGCAAGACTTGTGCTTATTTCAATCTGACACTAATATGCTTTTTTAATACTCTTTCAGTGTTAACATAAATATCTGCAATTCTTTGTAGAAGAAAAGGTGCCACCTCACATCTCAAGGAACTTGCCCATAGATAATTTTATTCTCAGTTCTTCATTGAAAGAAAAACAGCCACAATAGCGATATCAGGTTTACGTGAATAAGGAGTGTTAGACTGGAGTCATAGTGATAATTACTAGCAATTTTTATAGTTTTATTTTCTGTCAAATATTTCACATTTATATTATATGCCCACATGCCAGTGCAAATGTAAGCAGACCAATTCTCAGCATAGAAAATCTGCCTCTCTGTGGAAAACAGTTTTCATTGCTATGTGAAAAAACCTAAAGACTAAAATGAGGAAATATTTGGCTTTCTGTGAGTTTGGAGCTTAAAATGTGATTACCCTTTACATTTGATAGTGATGGGAATTTCTCACAGTTTGACTCCAGGGTTGGTATATTAGCTTTGATTGTTGCTGCTAGATCTGGGGAAGTAGAGGAGGCAGATGACATACTTGCGAGGGGCAGAGATCTGCACTCATACCCTACAATACTTCTCCAAAGCTGTCTGCTTCCCATAGTGTGAGGAGGCCTTTATGGTGGTTTGCTGGTTCATCTGTGGCAGTTGACAGGGACCAATTTAGGTACAAAACCCTGCAACTCAGCATCAGCTCTGCATCCCATTCTGTTGATTACTAGACCAATAACACTTGATTTTTTGGCTGCTCTTTAGGTAATGTTAATCAGAAGGTCTGTGGTTAAGGGCATTGGTGAATAAAGTATATTTGTAAATATTGCTAATGTAAAAAAAAAAATTGTTGATAGGTTAAGATCAGAATGGATTTCTTGAGATTGTTTCTTCATCTGGAGCTGTTTGACTCACAGTCTAGAATAATGTAAGAGAAAAAATGAGACTGTGTTCTTTTGCATGGCATTACAGAGTATGTTTGGGGGCATTCCTCTAATATTTATTCAGGTTTGTTTTAGCATGATCTCTAGATGGGGAATTTCTGTGATATTGTAGGTTACTGCAGGGTCCAAAATTGTGACCTTTAAGAAGGATCATCATTATAGGTGTTTGCATTATTTCTATTACTAAAAGTATGCCAGTGTCATGGGAAGACTTGTAATTTGAAAATAAATATTTCTTTAATTCTATATTAAAACTCACAAGGCACAAAACATCCTGAATGGTAAGTAGATTAGAATGTTTTCAAAATTCCAATGGAAAAATAGAAGTGAATCTCTTCCATTTCAATTTAACATTGAGAAGCATCTGATTTTTATATCAGTAGATCATGTTTAAATGAGTAGGATTAAAAGACATTGGAAAACCAGAGCTAATTCTGTATTTACAAAGCATTAATGAACATGAAAAAATAAAAAAATAAACTTTATAATATCAGCATTCATGATTTGTCAGAAAGTGGATAGAATCTATCAGAGATTAAAATGTAGAAATGAGATACCAGATCGCCTGTGGCAAATTTTGGGAGTGAGCTTTTTCGCGTGGAATGGGAATATGACCTTAAGACATGGCAGTCCAAGTTTTATTGTTCTATTAATACATGCCTCAGGTATGTTTTGAGGTAGGTGGCCACAGGCTGTTAAATACTTCACAGCACTTGAAGCTTGGAATACCAAAGCTATTCTGTGATAAATCACAGAAGATCAATCACAAAAATTCCATTTTATGAACATGTGGTAGAGCATAAAATACAAATAAATAACTGTCTGTTTAAGTCTAGAAAGCATTATTGCGAAGCTACTATACAGGTCCGTGTAATTTTTGAGTTTAGCTATTGTACCTCAGAACACAGACTTGTAATTTATAGTAGCAGCTAATCACGATACAATTGAAAAGCAGTTAGGAAAGTAGAGTCATGTTAAAAGTCATGTGAAAAAGTAAGGACAATCTCCCAGGCCTAACAATCACACTTGACAGGCAGTTTTTTGTTTTTTTTTGTTGTTTTTTTTTTTTTTTTCTTCCAAGAAGGATCTCCCTGTTAATCCTGACATCCATGAGTAACTGGCAGATCCAAATCTGCCTTGGTAGCAGATTTTCATTTTCCTGTTTTGTTCTTTCCAGCTTAGACAATTCAGTTTTGCACATTTTACCTCAGCTGCAGTTCAGAGATTTTTCTTTCCATCCAAATGAGAAGCTACCTTCTTCTCTTTGCCCTAATATATTTTCTATATGAAATTTAAGTAAGATGATACTTGCAAATATTGTGGCTGACAGGACCACAGTTCTGAAGTTCAAAGGATTCATGTAAGAATAATCTTTAAAGAGTAAATTCCTTTCAGGGTGTAGGAGAGTATTGTTCTCAGGATGGAAGAACAAGAAGGATTCAGAGGTTCAGGCTGATGGATCTGGAATATGAAAGGACAGTGGAAGTACTGTTTACTAAGAAGCTTTGTAAAAGATGTAGTAAGTATGAGCAAAGCATAAGGAGGAGAGGATTAGAAGTTACCCGAGGAGAAAAGGATAAATAGAACAGAATCCCTAGAGGAATGAAAAAAGGAAAACATAATTGTACAGGTTAAGGTGTGAAAGAGCTAACAAAGTGCAAAACTGAAGATGTTTTGGTAGTCGGTGATCCTTTGGCCAGACAGATTCCCTTTGCTTAACTCAAAGTCTGCAAATGTATAACCTGGAACAACAGTAACAAAGATCTTTGAAAATCATCTGGAAACTGTGACCTCTTAGGAGAATGTAAGTCCTTAGTAGTTGCAGTTTGTACTGGAGAGAACCATTGTTCACATCCTTTGTTTGCATTCCGTACAAAGGTGTGCACTTAGCCGTACACGCTTTCTAGGGCTTCTCTGTTTTACTTTCTAATCACCATTTCAATCATGTTTTGTCTGCTGAATGTATTGTGGCTTATACTTTCTCCAAGTTAGTTTTTTTTACTGTAGACCTCTTTTGTATAATGTATAATGTCTCACTACCTACTTTCTTATTATTTCCTCTATTCATACTGGTGTTTGCATTTTAATGCCATTTAGTACCATATTGAAAACTCATTTATATACTATGTATTTCTCCTTCCAGACCATTAAGGAAGAAGTTAATTAAGACTGGAAACGTCACTTATTTTTGCAGCTCCAAACTGAGCGTTTCTTCCAATCCATCATCTTTCTTTCCTTATAGCTTTTTCCTTAGTTATTTAGTTCATGTAAAATTCATGTAAATCTTTCAACCAAGATAATTTAGATTAATTTTCAGTACAGGATTTTACAAAACGTGTATTAAATGATTTACATTATGTGTGCAGTGTTTCCTTCATTCACTAATCTCTAATGTTTTTTCTATTTCAAGAATCGTATTTGTCCAGCAAACGTTCAGCTTTCATACTTGGAGTTTATGTAAGTTCATTTTCTTTTTTCCTGTCCTTCCCAGTAACCCTGATTTTAGTTTCATTGCCTTCCTTTGGCCAAGGTGGTGCATGTATTTCCCAAATAATTTGGTAATGGTTCCTGAAACTAAATATTTTTGGTTTCCATTCTCTTTCAGCCTTGAAGTGATGACAATTCATCTATATTATTCCTGTTGGTTTCCAGGTCTTGAAACCTGAACTAAAATAATTCATGTTTTATTGAAGTTCTTTGGCACTGTAATTATTTTTGTCTTATAAACACTTGGTAAAGATTACAGATTTATTTATTGATTGTCTGGAGAAAAAGTTCACAGTGGCCTTAAAGACCATACAAGCTTTTTTCATGTTAGAGGAATTCAAACTCAAAATGAACTGAGAAATTTTATTTGACTTTAAACTGTTTTATATTTTGGTAAATAATACTATATATATATATATATATATATAAAATTTTATTCAGTATTCTTAATGCTGTAAAATGCAATCTCTAATTTTAGTGTCCCAAAGGTAATTGTAATTATTTAGCAGCATAGATCTTATTTTTTTTCCTAAATTTGTATTTTAGCATGTTTCTTCTTTTTAAAATCTCTATGTTGGAAATACTCAAAATGTTAGCTACTTCTAAAATTTCACACAGCATTTCATTAATCAAATGATCTCTAAATACTTTAGAAAAATATGAATTAAAAAATGAAATTCTTATTGCCACATTTGTCATTTTCTAACATATAAAATGAGATATATGTGAAGATTATATTGCAAGAGACTATGAGCTTGCTTGAAGGACTAATAAGACAAATCAGAGTAAGACAGTTATTATTAAGAGAAGGGATGTTTCATTTTCAAAGTGATGTCTTTACACTGAGTGACACAAATCCTTCTCTTATTGGAGGTATTATACTTTTCCCACACTTGAACTGATAGCTTACACTATATTCATTTTTAAGCAAAAATATTTTTTCCTGTTACATCCTTGCAATGTTTCTTCATCAGAAGATGTTATTCCTTGGATGGCTGCATTGGTAAATAGCTTTCTAATAACTTCATAATGTCAAAATGATCATTTAGGAAACGATAAAATCAATTTATGACATGCAAAGAAACTATCCTTGTAATAATTACAAAGAAAAATTTTAATTATTAAAATTCTGATAAGTTTCTGTATGTAGCTTATTATGATCTTGAAACACAAACTATTAAATCAACAGAAGCCCCCCACTGATTTTTCCAAGTCTTTTACCAGCCTCTATGTGATGAGTGACAATTGAATGTTGATTATTCCCCAGCAAGAGAATATTTAAAGCATGGAAACAAAAATGTAATATGCTCATTGTTATCACCAAAAATAGATTTTGTACAGTTCACAGAGGCAGAACTACTACAACTCAATATTAGTGGGGTGCACTGCACAGGCATAACATTAGCATAAAACAAGATAGCTTTATGGCTTTGAGAGAAAATTTTTTTGTCCCTTCTGTTGTCATTAATTATACTGAAGTGTTAAGCAGGTATGATTCAACTTGAATTATCTTGGAGCTTTCTAGTATCTTCCATTATCACCTTGATTTTAGTCAAGTTTGTTTATTGTTTTAGCATATATGGGAGTATGCTGGTGGAAAAACTGTCAGCACAGATGTACTTTTTAAAAATAAGAGCTGTGGTAGATTATTTAAGCACATTTTAACCTCTTGATCTAGCCAAATTGATGTTCAACAGCTGTTAGACTACAGATGTTTTGTATACATTTCCTGGGCAGCAGATATAAAGATTGCTCTCCATTCCAAGCAAGAGGCACTGCCTTCTTAATATCTTTTACAGTAAAGCTTATTACATTTCAATATGTCCTCAGAGTAGCTCAAGGACACAAATTGCAGCAAATTGTATGATCCAAAAAATGTAATTAAGGACAGTTTGGCATCAGTTCACCTCTTAGAGGATGGACTGAAAAATATCTGTGTTGTTGCTCCTAGCAATTAAGGATCTTCAGGTCTACTGTCTTGTATGGATAACTTGATTCCTTTCTTTTTATTCAACGCTGCATGGATATTTAGGATCCTAGATACTTGTTCTCTGTTGGTATTGTCATATAGGCCTCTGCAGAACTTGGTTATCAAATGCAACCAAGTAGAGCTACAGAGGAGAAAAAGACTCTTCATCAGCCCATGATGCCAATGAGAGAGGTAACTTTGAGTAAAAGTGCTGTGGCAAAAGTTGTATTAATCCACAAGTGTTCCAGCAGATGTTCTTAAGGTTCTTTAAGGAAAATATTCTGCTTTTTGGGAGATACTGATCAAAATGACTCCTTGATGTAAAGTATCTTACATCAAACATTTATTTTGTTCTACTAACATGTTTATAAAATCATTTTTTAAATTTTTTTACTTATTCATATTCCTTGTTTTACTTGTGCTCACAACTGCTATGTAAAGCATTTAATTATTTTGATACACAAAATACAAATAGTTGAGATCAAATCTAGTTGCAGAGATCTCTTACAAAACTTAAATTTGTGATACTGAAATTATATTAAGGTCTTTAAATTCAGTACCAGCTGTCCATGCAACCATCTAATCCATCTCAATAATTTGCTTATACTCTATTAACAAATTCCCATTCAACCCTAACTTTGTACAAGATGCCATGTGTACCATCAGTAATAGATGCAGTAATTCAAAACAGGCATGAAGATATGTTCTTATCATCAGAGTACAGGATGTAGAAATAAAAGCTTCTATCCATAATGAGAAGTGAAGGAAATTTATGGTACCCATACCAATAACTTATTTTACTGCTTCACAGTTTTCCACTGAAAATATTTGTTGTGCAGTATTTTCCTATGACATAAATCATTCACTAGCTATTAAAATAAAATGTTCTACTCTTATTTCTGCCAGACCTTGCTTAGGTTACTGTCAAACACCTTTCAGAATACAAATGCTGAAGATCCTTAAAAATTTTGTATACATGTAGATGAGACTTTGAAAAGCAGGTACATTTTTTTGGATCCCAAAAATTCTATGCAGTTGCAACAAGAACTTTGAAACAGTATCTGTTCAACTCAGTTCTTTAGAGTTGCCAGTACTAATATGACGGATAATCATTTGTAATTTATTTTGTGCTAAGTGATGTGCGCCGCCAAAATGTGCTGTTAAAATCTGCTGCTAAAGCATAGTCAAATTCTGAAATATATGAATGATCATCTGATATAATTTGTCCAAATACACAAAAGTATTAGAAACTGGTCTTTTTAAAAAATGATATGATTGCCACAGTGCACTCATTCAATGACATCTAAAATTGTATAGCTAATTGTATAAAATTGTATAGCTAATGCTTTTAAATACAAAGGACTGTCACACTTATTTCAGATGAAGATGCACACAAAGGTATGGGTAGTGTATCTTGTAATAGTACAAACCCTGTGGGCAGTATTCTGCTTTGCCAAGACAAAAGTGAGGTAGTGCAATACAAATGAGTAGTGCAAGCAGTTAATCATCCAGTTAATCAACATGACAGCCTGGTTCTCCTACCTTTAAACCATTTTGCCATTTAAAAAAAAAAAAAAAATCCATACATGCATTCTCACAAAAACCAGCACACAAATACAGACCTGATCTCACTTAAAGGAAAAAAGAAATTTTTTCGTACTATTTGATTTTATCGTACTACTGATAAATAACAGAACATCAGCATTCCATAACACAATATTTGTAGATTGCAAATCTACCAAAAATTTATTAAAGAAGATAATTTACAAGCTTTCATTCTTTTTAATATTATTAGTCAGTGCAAACACTAATTGTTTTAAACTACCAAATGTATTAAATTTCACTATGATTACATTCAACAAAACTGCATTTAAGCCAGCAGATTGTGATATATCAAAGTATCAACCATTTCAGCCATATCAGTGATTTTAAGGAAAAGATCATATATTTCCCCTGATTATTTCAAAGAAACAATGATTCTGCAAGTGTCACGAGCTTTGCTTTGGGATACAGACCAATGAATATTTGCATACAAACACAGTCATTCAAAAAGCACTATATAATCACATTAAACAGCTCATTCAGTTTGGATAGGGAAAGTTAATTTAAACTAAGGAACACTGAGCACTTGTAAGTATCTAAAAGAGAGAATTGATCAGCCGACCCAAACACATTTCACAATTATCAATACCACATTGCTTTTTGAGGTTGAATGTTCTGGAAATGGAATAGCAATTTTATTAATTAGATATGGTTCCTCTTCACAGTCGTTGATTGTCCTTGACTTAGAAAGAGCGAACGCTTAGTTTACAAAATAAATTAATCACAGAAATGTCTCCATTTTATCCATAATCAATTACTCTGCCTGTTTTTTGCCTTGGATCTACCAGTTCATCTTCCTTATACTGTTCTAGTATTGTGCCTTGTTCTCAGATACCGCATAATCAGTTTTCAGTTTATATTTACCAATACAGCTTTCTTTAATCATATTTTTCATGAGCACAAGTCCTCAAGAAGATATTTCCAGTAATAAAAGCTGCACTGCCAGTTAGATTAGTTTTGCACAGTATGTAATACACTGGGTTTACTGTGGCTAGAAGGTAGTTTTACCAAGATATTCAGCTTGGATGTCTTATCTCATTCATCAAACTCTTGTCAACCAAAGAAGGAGGAGAAAAACATCAGAAAATCTTGAAATGCTTTCATAGTCACACATTTCTGTCAATCAGTGTAATCCTGTGGATAAGCTGGACAATAACAGTGTACACAGTTTCTTTGTTCACTACTAATGTCTACATTTTAGACAGTGGGACCTAAACACAGATGACGTTATGTTGATTTTTAAATCCTAGCTAGATTCATTTGATCACAGTTCCTACATGAACAACATCATTGTGTCTAGCTTTTCTATGTCCATTTGTTATAATTTGAATTTGACCTATCCTTTAAATATCAGCAGTCCATGTTAACACAGTGAGATATAGGTATGAAAATCAAGCGTGAAACGTTATCAGTTTTGGAAGTATGTATGTCTGTTCCAGCTCTTTTAACTGTGAGTCCACTTAAACTTTGTAACTATACAGTCTGGTTTTACTGATTTAACAAAAAATAATTTTTCATGTTACTATTTCTTCTTGTTAAAAACTATTTTTGCTTTGATATTTCCTGTGAAGTCATTACCAGTAACGCATATGTCTCCAGGTACCTATTTGCTCTAGATAATATACAATATATATATTCCAATATATCATTATTGGAATGTCCAGGTCTCCATTTCACTGACACACTACAGTTAACTCCAGTAAAATTATCAGTTCTTCCTTAACAAACGATTATTTCCCATAAAGAGAGAGATATTTCCTATCATTTGCAAACATTGGATTTTTGTGATCAGTGTGAGCGTTTTTGACATCCCTGTTCAAATGGTGAATTCA